TTTGTGGGTTTTTTCCCTATGGTTTAGCCCCTGTTGTCACTGTATTTTATTTTGGTACCCTGGGTATTGTATATACGTTAATCTGAACTAGGGAAGGAGAACAACAAAATGGTGAGACAAAGGACAAAGAGTGAACCAATGCAACAGCAATACTCACAAGACAATATGTTAGAAATGAACTGTACAACTTGGAGGGGGAGGCTGAAAAGGGAGGGAGAGTAGGAGAAAAATGAGGGATGGGGTAACAAGTTTAATAAGAAATGTACTCACTACCTTACATACGTAACTGTAACCCCTCTGTACATCACCTTGGCAATAAAATTAAAATAAAATGAAATTAAAATCTTACCTGTTAGCAAAGATGAAAATCTATAAGGAGGCTCATATTCAGCAAAAGGTAGTATAGACTGGTTAATATTCTTAAAACATTTTTTTGAAACTGTGTCTCTGTCTCACTTTGTCTTCTGTGCATTTATTTCTTTTGGAGATGTCACAAAGAGGAATGGCTGGTCTATTATAGAATTACACTTTTAGGATACTGTAGGTCCTAATCATCTGTTTCTACCCATCTACCTTGTCTTTAAAAAAAACAGGAAGCAAAACTTCTTATTGTATCCTTTGGTTTAATGTAAGTATGGACAAGTCTTCTTCATTCTTAAGTCAGGCTTTTCAGGATTTTCACAAAATATTGTCCTGAAATTGTAGTCTACAAATAAACTACTGGACACTTTTTTAATATAATTTCTGAAGAAAACATGACTATTCTAAAGTTATACTAATCATCATATTCAGTGCAGAGCTGGTAAAAGAACTTTATCTCTGAGAAAGAAAAAATGGTTGCTACAAAAAGAAAGAAAAAAATACTTGCCAACTGGCAAGTATCTTAGCCAAAGGAGAGTATGGAAAGAAAATACTAGGAGACCTAGGCATTGAAAGGACTGACTTAGAAGGAAATCAGACTTAAGGAAATAAAAAGTGGTCTACAAGATTCCCAATAGCGACTTGGATAGGCTCTAAGGGAAGGTAGTAATAGATTGATTCAAATCTCAGGAAGAATTAAATTTCCTTGTAGAGTCTCTGTTTTAGGAAATGTTCAAGTTATTAGAAAGATAGAAGTGAAAGAGTTATCTTTATACTTTAAACCCATGTTCACTCATCAGTAGATGAGTGAGATAGAGGCTCGTCTCCAGATGAGGAAACTCCAGATGAGTAAGGTAGAGGCACATCTCCAGATGCGGAAACTTAAAAACATCTCTGGCAGATCCCATTGGGATAGAGGACAGGAAATTTTGGTGATCATGACCTCACAGACTGATGAGGTCATGATCACCAAAATTAAAGGCCAAAACTGTTTTTACAATTCCCAGTGATGAAAGATAAAATGCTATTGCATCATTTGGCCATGATGCTTTTTATTCTTTGGAGCTTACTAACACAAACATTTGTAAAGCCATTAGCACAGTTCATACAGGGAAACTTAAACCAATTGTTCCTGTCTCTACATGATGACACATTTCTTTTTGTGTGAGTGTGATGCTGGGGATGGAACCAGAAGATTGGTGTGTGCTAGACAAGCACTCTATTACTGAGCTATATCCTCAGCCAAGATGCCAGGTTTGTATGCCAGCACCAATCCTAGTGCTTATACAATGCCAAAAGTTCAGTCTCAAGAGGCTATAGGACTGGACTTCAAGAGCAGCCTGGGTCTTTTGACTCCTTCTCATTCTTTTCCCTGCTCACTCTCAATTTCCTTCTCACCCTTTTGCTCTCATGCTCCCGCTCTCTTTCTCTCTCTTCAAGATTGGGACTTATAAATGTCCATGCTGTCTTCTGAAAAGAAACTGTGTGGGTCTGAGATACCCAAACATGTTTTTCTCTTAATGCAATGATGGACAGTTACTGTGGTCAGCTGATGCTATATTCTCACTTATCAGAGAAACTGCTGCTTATTAGAAAGAAGGAAAGTTCTTAGGCAAAGAGAAGGAATCTATGCACGCACATAAAACAAGTAACATTTGTTGGGGATAAATAAACATCAAAATTTTAATATGAATATGAACTAAGATTAATAATATGTTTGCAAGTATAATGCAAAGCAAAGAACCTTTCTAGAAATCTTTGAGAAAGTTTATGGTTTTTATTTTCAATAACAAATTTGAAAACCTTTAGTGGCACAAAAAGTACTAACATCCTAACTTTAACCAGACTTTATATTATCCTAAGCAAGAAAAGCTGGTTGAAATACCCTAAAAACACTGTGCTTTTTAAAAGACCAAATTGCAATTTCCCTAAATATCAAGAGGGCAAGAAATGAGAAACAGCTATGTGGTTTCACAAACTCTCTATTGAGAAGCTAGCAGGAAAGAAAAATCTGTACCTGATACTGTGGGAAGGATTAAGGCTGTTCCTCACACAGGGCTACTAAGGAAGCAATATAAATAACAGTGGGCTAGGAATAACGTAAAAAGAGTAAGTAAAAACCATGCACAAAATGGACTTGTAAAGTATTCAATGATATTTAGTTGTAAAAGAGGAGGGACAATTACAACAGATGATACAGCAAGAACAGGCCTGGTATCTGTTTACCAAAGGACAAAGTGAGTTGTTTGAATCCAACCCAGGCATCAATTCTGAAAACACTTCTATCCATCAATATGTGCTTCTTAGCATCTCTCTAATGAAGTCTTATCTACTCAACTTGGTACCCAGGGGAAAAAAGATACTGAGTTCTCCCATATACAGTCACCAGAGTTAGACTTTAACCAACTAGATTAGAGCCCAATAACTCAGTATGTACTGAAGTATACCTTTGCCTGATTTAGTCCTGTGATTACCTATCTCTCTTCTTTGTGAGCTTTCTAGTAAAGAATGTCACTACTTAGGGCCCTAGTTCCTTCCTCAGTTTTCTCACTGAAAAGATCTAACTCAACATTACTAGTACTATTATGATCATACATGTGTACTTTAAGAAAAGCATTACAGTATCGAACTATCTTAAAGAAATAAGTAGGAAACATCAGAATAAAATTTCAGCTAATAACAGTATCCAAATAAAATTGGCTGGATCCTGAATAAAGAAACCACTAGTTATCTAAGCATGCTACAAAATGAGAGGAATTCAGTGCCTCAGATCAGTGCCTATGGTGGCAACAGGAGGCAGTGATAGCCCAAGCAGTAGCCTCTTGTTGCCAAATGAAGTCAGTGTTGGAAAGTCATATGAATGGATAGGAATTGCCACCAGAAAGGACACATGCCGGGCTGTGAAGGTGGCTCAGTGGTAGAGGCCCTGGGTTCAATTCCTCAGCACCACATAAGCAAAAAGAAAAAAAGCCAGAAGTGGCGCTGTGGCTCAAGAGGTAGCTAGCCTTGAGCTGAAGAGCTGAGGGACAGCGCCCAGGCCCAGAGTTCAGGCCCCACAACCCGATCCAAAAAAAAAGAAAGGACACATGCCTACCACACTGCTTTCAGAATATGCTCCCAGGCCAAGGATACTGCCTCCTGAGCAATGGAGAAAAACAGGGTTATCCTTTTATAGTCTTTCCTTAAATCACCTCTAGCTTTCTCAGGGTGTACAGAGAGGTGTTGGACAGATCCTGCCACAAGACAAATCCTGTCTGCTGAACATCCTCTTTTAATGATCTTCTGGCATTTCTTTTAGCCTTTCATGAAAACTATGCCAGAAACTTCTTGATAACAAAGCTAATTATCTAATCAGTCTGGCCAGATTCATGTTGCTCCATCTTATCTTTCTGTTTGGTTGGAAAATATACTCCCTCTAGACAAACCACTTAGACACCTATAGATTGAAATACTTGACTGGCAAATGTCCCTTACCCTTAAATTCCCTAAAATATGGTCATGTAGAGAATTCAGCTCTTTGCCCATGTGCTTACAACTGCTTTTTAACTGCATTCAAAGGACCCATGTCTTAGATGTCAACAAGAGAAAATAAAGACTGTTAAAAAAAAAAACAACAATAACATCAAAACTTTTTCCACAAATAATCTTTTCATAAAATTTAGGGTGATCTATGATTACTATAAACAACACAGATAATTTTCAAAAGTAGTCAAAGCAAAATGGGGTGCTTTTTGTAAGCATTTAAAGACTGATAAATTCTGGTTGTGGGTTGTAACTCAGTAGCAAAGCACTTACCTAGAATGTGTGAGGCTCTAGGAAGGTACATGTAGGGAAGGAAGGAGAAAAGGAAAGGGAAGGGAGGTAGAAAAGGAAGGGAAGAAGAAGGGAGGGAGGGAGGGAGATCAGTAGGGAGAAAGGGAGGGAAGAAAAAAGGAAGGGACAGAGGGAGGAAGAAAGGGAGGGACGGAGGAAGGAAGGAAGGAAGGAAGGAAGGAAGGAAGGAAGGAAGGAAGGAAGGAAGGAAGGAAGGAAGGAAGGAAGGAAGGAAGGAAGGAAGGAAGGAAGGAAGGAAGGAAGGAAGGAAGGAAGGAAGTTATGATTATAAACATATCACCAACAAAGTAGTGATAGGCAGTGTAGAAAATTTTTAAGATAGGGCTGGGAAGGTGGCTCAGTGGTAGAGCACTTGCCTTGCATGCATGAGGCCCTGGGTTCGATTCCTCAGCACCACATAAGCAAAAAGAAAAAAGCCAGAAGTGGCGCTGTGGCTCAAGTGGTAGAGCGCTAGCCTTGAGCTGAAGAGTTGAGGGACAGCGCCCAGGCCCAGAGTTCAGGCCCCACGACCAGACCCAAAAAAAAAAGAAAAATTTTAAGATAAACCATCAACACAAAGTAAAGTCCATTAGAAACAAGACAACAGCAACTACAGCCCACACAAACCACTGTGCATCACTTCTATTCTCTCTCATGAATAGCAGCTGAAAGCCTATCAGAATTTCCCTATCATAAAACCTGCCATAGGTGAGACATTATGAACATACCAATCGTACTGTGTGACTTACTCTGTCACAAAAAGAGGATCCTAACCCTCAAAACAATCATTTGCTAAAACAAAGGTCAGGTAAAAACTCAGGACTCACCTTTGTCAGGAACACAAACTGAGAACTTCTTAACACCATCTACCAGCACATTCTTTGTGTTCCCATGTCTATCTTCTGAGTCACTGTCATTGAATTGAGCCTCTATAATGACATCAGGACTATCATTACAGCCTTTGAGGGACTGCTGAGGGAGCTCCTCAGGAAGATCAGACTCATAGGGAGCTTCTGTTTCTTTTTCACTGCTCTCCGGTTTAATCACCTAAGGAAAAGAGATAGAAAATTTCTACTTCATCACTGACAGAAGGTAGGGCAGTAGATTTTTCCTTTTTATGGAAGGAACTACACATTCAGAAAATGACATTAAATATTCACCAAAAAGTCTGAAAAGGGACCTTCATTTTCCAAAGTACATAGATTAAACTATGGAGATAATCAAGCCACCAATGTCAGACTGGTACTTGGTTCTTTAAGATGTCTCTAATTCATATCTATTTCTCCCAATTCTCATCTATATTCTCAAATCCTCTCTCCTGAAGGCCTTGAATACCACAATGTACCATTCTGCTTCACAAATTTTATTGTATAGGAACAATTACTATGTTAGAGAATGATAAAAGAATTTAACCACCTATGTTAGTGTGCTCCCAGGTAGAATATAGGATGACATAGAAAAGACAAAATTAATTGTGAATAGGAGTTTATAAAATATAAAGTCTTAATTTTCCAGTTTCAGACTTGAAGTCAGTGTATAAAGGTCACAATATGATGCACATCCATACTAACAAGAAAACTGAAGCAAAGAGGAGAAAGTATCTACACACCAATGTGTTTAATGAGGTTAACACATGTTAGTTATATGGGTACTATTCTAAAATAAACAAGGTTTGCTGAGTTACTGAAAAAACTGTGACACTATATATGAATCTGCCAATATACATTAACAAAAAGACAGCTTCAGACTTTATATATTCCAGATATTACTTGTAATCATTCATCCTTTTTAAGAAACTATTTGTAAATTTTTTAAATCTATGTTTATGATCACATGTATATATGAACATATAAACAAATTTGGTCACTATTTGTAGCACATTCTTTAAAACAAATGTTGGAAGGCCCACTCTAATAAAACCTATATCTTAATGGTGTGACAGACAGTAAACACTTTAATAATTCAACAAATCATTACATGGTACCTTTCTAGGTACACAGCATTTTTCTAGGTGTCAATGATGCAGGTAGGAACTCAATCAAAAGTCTATCAGTAATAAGTGCAAACATAAATGTAATGAGAATAAAATCACTGGTAAAGAAGAGATTAAGGGAATAAATAACAGGGAAGATGAGCTAGTTCACCAGTAGGGTAATTAAGGGGTGGCTTACAACATTACATCCTTAATGTTTCTAAGGAAGCAGCTTTGGATCAGGGGCCTGAATAAATCAGTGAGCTTTTCTGGCAGTTCCTTCCCCTTTTTGTATTTGACAGTGCTAAGAGTCTGTTGAGGTTTTAAAATAGACAACTACTTTTAGCAAGCCAGATTAACAGTCAAATGAGACAATACAAAGATCCTCCTAATGAAAGATCGTCATCTTCTCCAAAGTAGAAAAGAATATTACCTCCTTCCCAAAATATTTTATTGCCACAGTTTCCAATTAACATTACCATCACCAGATAATTAATATTGTAATATTCAACTAGAAAATCTAGTAAATATTATAAAGAAATTCACAATAAGAATGAAGACTCTCAGAAAATATCTCCAAAGTTCTGAAAACACTGACTACATGAAAACTTGTTCTAACAGAAAACTTGTACCAAATAATTTTTCTGAGCAAAATTAAGCCTTTTAGTAACTAAAAAAGAAAAAAAATCTTTGTTTCCAAACTCTAAAAGTACTTAATGAAATTTCATTAGAATTTGTGGTATGTTTAAACTCTTGTCAGATTCATTCATTATTCATCATTTCCATAAGAAATATAGAATAAGATTCTATTTCTCTTTTTTTTTAGGGACAGAGAGTGCTGGGATCAAACTCAGGGGCTTATACATGCCACGTGAGTGCTCTTTATCTGAGCTACATCCCTAAATCATTTTCTTTGGTTTAAAGATATGGATGAAGCATGCAATTCAAGAGGGTGATATCTAAGACTCTTATCTCCATCCAATAACCACCAAAAAAAAGTTGGAAATGGAGCTGGGCTAGAGTACTAGCTTTGAACAGAGTCAACATCAGGCACTGAGTTCAAGCCCCAGTAGTTACTGGTACAAAGTTTTGCTGTTGTTTATAAAGAAAGGAGGGGAGAGAGAGAAGAGAAGGAGCAGGGAAGTTAAACTGACTATGACAAGCAGTCTCCAAAAAGATTCCCTCAGACACCTTCATACAAGAACAAATGAATAAAGCCACAGTTAGAACATTATATTGATACATATAGCAGCTCTACTCTTTGCCCTTCTGCTTTGAACACAAACCCTAGTTTCATGCCTCTCACAAAGTAGATCATTCAAAAATACAGGTGAACTTAAGAAGAAAAAGAATCTGACAGCATTCAAATTAACAACCCCATTCAAATCAATAAACCCATTCAATTTGTTTAAATGAGTCTGAGAAATTCAATAATATTTACAAACATCTGCTCTGATCACTTTTTTATTCAAATTTTATTGTAAAGGTGATGTACAAAGGGGTTACAGTTATGTAAGTAAGGTAATGAGTACATTTCTTTTTTTTTTTTTTTTTTTTTGTGGTCGCAGGGCTTGAACTTTGAGCCTGGGTGCTGTCCCTCAGCTCTTCAGCTCAACGTTAGTGCTCTACCACCTGAGCCACAGTGCACTTCTGGTTTTCTCAGTGGTTTACTGGAGATAGGCGTCTCACAGACTTTTCTGCCCAGGCACTTTGAACTGCGATCCTCAGATCTCAGCCTCCCGAGTAGCTAGGATTACAAGCATGACCCACCAACACCTGGCTCAAGTATATTTCTTTTTGAACATTCCCTCATTTTCTCCCACATCCCCCCCCCCTCAACTCCTACAGTTCATTTCCAACAATGAAGTCTAGTAAGTATCATTGGTGAATTGGTTCACCCTTTGTCCCACTATTTCTGTGATTCCCCTTCCCTTCTCAAATCAGATAAAGTTATATACAAGACAAAGAGTACAGTAACAACAGGGAATGCAACAGGAAAAAAGAAAGGGGAAAAAAAAACCTAAGCTGGTTGCCGGTGGCTCACACCTGTAATCATAGCTACTCAGGAGGCTGAGATCTGAGGACCGAGGTTCAAAGACGGCAGAAAAGTCTGCGAGACTCTTATCTCCAATTAACCACCAGAAACCAGAAGTGATGCTGTGGCTCAATTGGTAGAATGCTCTCCTTGAGCTGAAGAGCTGAGGGACAGTGCCCAGGCCCAGAGTTCAAGCCCCATGACTGACAAAAAAAAAAAAAACAACAAACCCTAGTTTCCATTTCTTGGAGTTCATTTCAATAAGCATCATTTATATGGTCATATGCACATAGCTATTACGCCACTGTGATCCTCTGTTAAGAATATCCTAGACATCAAAGACTTCAATATAAGACCAGATACCCTGAAACTATTCCAGGAAGGGACAGGGGAAGGGACAGAGGGCTCCTTGGCACAGGTTGAAGCTTTCTAAGATCCAGAAACAATGGCTAGATAAATGAAATTGCACTAAAAACGAAGAGTTTTTGCATGGCAAAGGACATAGCTAGCAGGATAAATAGAAAGCCCACAGATTGGGAGAAGATCTTTATTAGCTATACATCAGACAAGGGCCTCATATCTAAAATCTACTTAGAGCTCAAAAAATTAAATTCCAAAAAAACAAATCCTCAAAGAAACAACTCCATCAATAAGTAGGCTAAAGACTTAAAGAGAGACTTCTCCTAAGAAGAAATAAGAATGGCCAATAGACACATGAAGAAATGTTCAATATCTATGGCCATAAAAGAAATGCAAATCAAAACAACATTGAGATTCCACCTTACCTCAGTTAGAATGGCCACTGTCAAGAAATCTAATAACAACAGATGTTGGCAGGAATGTGGCCAAAAGGGAATGCTACTACACTGTTGATGGGACTACAGACTTGTTCAGCCACTCTGCAAAGCAGTATGGAGGTTCCTCAAAAGACTATAAACATAGAGCTCCCCTATGACCCAGCAATCCCATTCTTGGGCATTTACCCAAATGACCACAAACAAGGCCACACTAAAGCTACCAGCACAACCATGTTCACTGCAGAATTATTTACCATAGCTAAGATATGGAATCAACACACATGCCCCTCAGTAGATGAATGGATCAAGAAAATGAATATACACAATGGAATGCTAAGCTTCCATCAGAAAGAACAGCATTCATTAGGAAATGGAAAGACCTGATCACTTTTAGAATTAGCACAACCATGGGCACTGTCAGAGCAACTCAAATACAGCAAGAGGTTTGTATGTGTAGCCTACATTTAAGGCATGGTTGCTAACCTGATCGCTGATCTATTGTTTTTACTATATCATTCTCTCACACACTTTATCTCACAGAGAAAGGTACTGGGAGCTCACCAGCCAGGTGCTGGTAGCTGATGCCTGTATTTATACCAATTCTGGAGACTGAGAGCTAAGGATCTTAGTTCAAAGCCACTGTGGGCAGGAAAGTCCATTAGACTCTTTTTTTTTTTTCTTTTTTTTTTTGTCATGGGGCTTAGGGCCTAAGCACTGTCCCTGCTTTTCTGTTCAAGGCCAGTGCTCTACCACTTTAAGCCACAGCTCCACTTCCAGTGTTCTGGTGGTTAACTAAGGAGTCTCAGGGACTTTCCTGCTCCAACTGGTTTCACACTGAGTTCCCCAGATCTCAGCCTCCTGGGGTAGCTAGGATTACAGGTGTGAGCCACTGGCGCCCACCCTGTAAGACTTTTATCTCCAATTAACCACCAGAAAACCGTAAGTGGAGCTGTGGCTCAAAGTGGTAATGTGCTAGCCTTGAGCCTAAAAGCTCAGGGACAGGGCCCAGGCCTTAGTTCAAGCCCTACAATGAACGAAAAACACTCACCACCAAAATGAAAAGTGAGTGACAGGCTAGAGATAGACTAGCAAGTGACTTTTAGTCAGTCTGTCTGCCTCATGCCTTCCCTTTTTCCCTCCCTCCAAATGGGTCCATTGTCTAGGCTGGTCTCAAACCCCTGGGCTCAAAAAAATCCTCTTATCCTCCCAAGAAGCCAGGACCACAGAAACAAATGCCATCAGG